AATTAAAGTTGAAAATCAGCCAAACAAAACTATTGAAGTTATAAAATTTGATAGGGGATTAGAACATACCGGTAATTTTGACAAATTTTGTGTTGATAATGGGATTATTCATGAGGTTACTCCCCCCATTTTCCCTAATCAAATGGTGTAGTTGAACGAAAAAAATATAATTGTTAAGGATATGGTCATTTCACTGCTAAACTCTTTTTGGATTGCCTTTTGACATGTGGGGGAAGCTTTTCTTATTATCCGTTATATTCTTAATAGAATTTCTAGTTATAAAAATGATAAGAAACATTATGAAATAGAGTAGAACACCTTCATATAGATATCTTAACGCATGGGAGTGTTTAGCTAAAAGCTCTAATGCGAACCCATGTAACAATTGTAACTACAAAATCTACGACAGATTCTCAAATCCAAAAAAGCCAAGAATCAACATTTGGAAAGCTCAACCCAATAAACTATTGAACCAAAGAATCAAGACAATCGCAAACAATATCTTGACCCCGTGATCACAAAACTTATGAAAGTTATTTGAATTGTTGAAAGCCTCAAGAATTTAATTCTTGACAAGTTCAGAATTAATTGGATGAAGAACGAGTTGAAAGCAATATATCTTGCAATAATATCTCTCAAACTGTTCGTTTTACAATGAAAATAATAATCATATTTATATGGAATCCCTAAAAAACCTAATTAAAAACTGAATCAATAATTTAAATATCAAGAATTACCATAAAACTAAAGTTTTAACTAAACTAGGATTCTTTCCAAAAATTGAAAAATTCGTTGCTGGACTTGTGCTATGTAGCCACATTGTGTTGGAACATGCGGTCACACAGTTCATCAAAACCCTCCCTTTGATTCTCGGTATAGAGGCATGTGGTCGCATGCGTTGGTGTACCATGCGGTTGCATAGATGACATTCTCAGCTCCATTATCCTTTGCTTGAACTTTGTTGATCCATCTTGTTCCTTCTTCTATGCTCAATATGAGACCTGTCATTTTGCTTGTTGTGCTTTGTGTTTCATCCACTGTAACTTGAACAAATAATCACATGGCTATTCTTGACCTTCTTTGCTCATGAACTAATCATTGGTCCTTCCTCCACAATCAACGGGTCCTTATCTTTGCTAACTCTCGCATCATGAATCTCATCAACCTTGATTCCAACACTTAAGAGAATAATGCTTGATCCGAAAACTATCGATTTTTTTTATAGGCTATGCTTTTCATAATAATGCCTACAGATTTTTACTCAATGATTCTAAAGATAATTTCATTAATAAGATTACAGTTTTTCAAATTAGAGATGTTGATTTTTTTTAAACATAGATTTAATTTTTTTAAAAAATTGAAGGACTAAGTAATTATGTTAGTGTTACTCCTAGAATTAGAAAGGAGCCTAGTGAATTAGAAGAAGCTGAATTTAGAATAAACAAAAGACCAAAGACTGTTACTTCTTTTGGTCCTAACTTTTAGTTGAGAATGATCCTAATACTTTTAGTGAAGCTATGACTTCACAAAATTCTATCTTTTGGAAGGAAGCAAGGAATAGTAAATATGATTCTATTTTGTCTAATAATACTTGAGAGTAGTAGACTTTACCTCAAGGATGTAAGACCATTGGATGTAAATGGTTGTTTAAAAAAAATAAAATCAATCTGATAGTTCGATTGATAAGTTTACAGTAAGACTTGTAGCTAAAGGATATAGATAAAAAGAAAGAGTTGACGTTTTTGATACTTATTCACCTGTTTCTAGGATTGTGTATATTAGGATGTTAAATGCTATTGCTTCATTATATGATCTTGTTATTCATGTCAAAAATTCATTTTTAAATGAAGATTTAGAATAAGAGATTTAGATGGATCAACCTGCCGGATTTGTTGTAAAAGACATGCATGATAAAGTATGTAGACTTAAAAAATTTCTTTATGGTCTTAAACATGCTTCTAAGCAATATCATGAAATTTGATACAATTTTGACATCTAATTGTTATGTGATAAATGAAACAGATAAATGCATATATAGCAAAGTTGAAAATAATAGTGTTCTGATCATTTGCTTATATTGATAATAAGTTGATTATGAGAACTAGTTGAGATGTAATTAATAGGACTAAATAATTTCTAAAAAAAGGCACTTCAAAGATGAAAAATGGAATCTTGCTATTGTTATTCCAGGAAATAAAATAGTAAAATATTTAGAGGGAATTACTTGCCAAAACACCTTATGATGCAAGTTATCATTGAGAAAACATTTAGGCCCTCATATTTCTGCTTTAGAATATACTAGAGTGATTGGTAGTCTCACTGATCTCAGGAACTGTACAAGACCTGATATAGCATATGTAGTTGGTAGACATAGTAGGTATACTAGTAATTCTAATAGTAAACATTATGATACTCTTTTTTGAGTCTTGAGGTATTTGAGATACACTCTAAAGTGAGAAATACATTATACCGAATTACCTATTGTACTTGAGAGATATTGTGATGCTAATGATAATTGGATTTTGGATACTAATGAAAGTAAATCTACTAGTGGATACGTTTTTACTTTAGCAGACGTTGTCGTATTTTGGAAATCTACTAAGCAAAGCATTGTGAAATCTACTATGAAGTTCATAACCTTAGATAAGGCAGGTGAGTAGGTTAAGGAATTTCTTTATGAATGTTACTTTGTGGTCTAAACGACTTCCAGCTATTTCAATTCATTGTGAAAGTCAAGTAACTATTTTAGGAGTTCAAAATTCATCTTACAATAGAAATTAGTTTAGACATGTTAGTACGAGGCACAATACTATGCGTCAGCTATTTAAGGATGAAGTCATAGCTATTGACTATGTGAAGTCAAGTGACAATATTGATGACCTATTAACCCAAAGATTAGCTAGAGGTCTAGTTTAGAAAGCATCAATAGGGATGAGGCTAAAGCCTATTAGAAGCTAGATTACCTATAATGGAAATTCAACATTGCAACTGGAGATCTACAGACAAGGTTCAATGAGACAACAAAGTTATTGGAGTAGTTTGTGTGAGTACTATATTGTATTTATTACAATCCCTCCCTATGATGTGTAGTACCAAATGTATTCATTAGAGGATGAACTAATGCTCTCAAGGCTTACTATATCTATTATTCAGTGGGGTGTTTAGTTGTAGTGCAATCTTGATAGAAGCACCTATTTGATTGTAGAAGTGGGGCCCCTTCCTATGAGAATTGAGACTAATTGTCTACAGTACTCAAATAAATTAAGAAGGTTCATGGTTGAAATGAACACAATCGCAAGAACTCAAAGATTGTCTTCAAAATCATGTCTGTGTTTTGTTGTCTCAGTTTGCAATTTTAATTGTAAATTTCAAGACATAGCTCACTCTACAATTAGCAGATTCGATAGAATATACAAATCCAAAGTCCAAGTCGAACGACACCTAAACCTGCGTAATTTCTTTTGTACTTCATAATAATGTTTATATTTATTTTATTTTTTTCATGTAGGGAATTATTAGATATATATCAAATATAGTATTGGAAAGAAATACTCACATTAGATAAAATGCTCCAGTGGTAAAAACTATTGAACCTATGTGAGAGGTCGACGTTTAAAATCACATTTCACTCTAATAGTAAAAAGTCTATAATTGAGAGTTTGGGCTCTTGGATTCTTTGATTAAAATAAATTTTTTATTAGTTTTAATCATTTTCTAATATATTTTTCTTGGTCAACCTAGCGACTACAAAAATAACGTTATATAAGTAGTTAATTGGCGATTTGTTGAAATAATAAAATATATCAAAAAATTAAATCAAAGATTGGAAGTTACGTTGCTTGAACCATATAAACTCCCGTCTTCGACTGAAATCATTTTTCAAGTTCGAAAATTTCTAAAACTCGTTTTTAAGATTATTGTGCTATTTTTAGATATTGTTTTAGAGTACTACTGAAAGTTCTAAAAATTACTTGTGGTCGCTACATAAGTGATTCGATTATGTATAATGAGAGTAATTATTCAAAGAGGTTGCATTAGTTTATGGTGAACAATTTTACTTTAGGACATCGTGCTGTCACGAGTCTCGATCGATAAGTTTTTTCTACATTTTACTATTATTATTATTATTTTTTTCAACATAAGTCATTGCCATCTAATTTCAGTTTGATCACCATATTTCGTGTTAAAATTGTCCTCTGTAACCACAGCTAAACATTATATTACTCCAAAATATTGAAGCAGAATCAAGAGATCTAAATTCTTTTGTAGAAAAAATTGTAATTCCTGAATTCTTTTGATTGACATCATTAACAATCCCGACACAATTTCGTTTGTTTAAGAGAACAAAAAGGAGAAAATAAATGCCAAAAGGCAAAAACTAAAAATTAAGGAAAGAAAGAGCCCATATACTTTGAAGTTTTTAATAAACCACATGGCAAGAATTTAGCAAATGCCTGCTTTTCCCTAAGAAATACTTATGCCCCTCGTATCGACCTAACATGCTCTACTTCTGTATAAAAATGCAAAACCTAAATAATACATGCAAAAGTTGGTGTGAAATATATATATATATATATATTTTTTTTTTTTTAATTTTTTTTTTTGAAAACACATTATTCTTTTATTAATAAACCCTTACTTGTGGCGAAGGAATACCGTAGTTACATCCAAATCAAAGTAAACCAAACTTTGTGTAATCTAAAACAACATTGTAAGATTTAAAGACAAACTATGAGTAGAACAGCCTCGCAAATTGGCGATGCTCAGTTTATCCATACGCAAAGCTCCTCTAACTGATGATGGGATTGTGATAGAATCCATCCAGATCTGTGAAATATAAGACGCTCCCAATTTTGACAGGATATCAGCTATCGAGTTGCCTTCCCAATATATGTGTTGAACTCTACAAGAGATTGTTGACAGCAGGTATTATATTTCTTCCCAGTAATCTTCTAGATACCAAATACCACAAAACTTCCTCTCTAACCAATTAACGATAATCAATGAATCAATCTCCACTTCAAGACGATTAATCCCCAATCTTTTAGCATGTCAAAGCGCATATAATAATGCCAATAGCTCAGCTCTATTATTAGTATCCTCACTGAGTTCCTCAGCAAGGCTATGACAATATCACCTCTTTCATTTCGAATAATACCTCTAGCACCACAAAATCCAAGGTTAACCAGGCAGCACCCATCAGTATTGAGTTTATACCACCTCTCCAATGGTCGTTGCCATCTCACTACTTTAAAGTTTTTTCTTTTAATCAGCTTGTTCGGGATATTAAGTTCCCTTAAAACTCATTCATCTCTTCTATTAAGTGTTCTCACTTCTTTTAATTTTAGCCCTACCCAAAGAATCCAAACTTTAATTTTCCTCCAATTAGCTTCTATAGATTCCCTCCTGTCCTCCATCCTGGCTGAACATCGCCACATCCCTAAGTACTAGCAAATTATACTAGGAATAATACTCATTAGAGTACCTTTATGTGATGTTTGTTTTGCTCTTCGGAACCAGGTTTCTACACGCTCCCTCCATCCTCGAGTCTGCAAATATCGAATTCCCAGTAAGGTTGAAGCTTTTTTCCAGATTTGTTGAGCAACGTCACCCAAGGCCAATACGTGTTCTAGATCCTCATATCCCCCTTGAGAGCAACACATACATTTTGATGCAATGGGAATGCCTGCCTTTCGAATTTTGTCGTCTATAGAGAGGCCCCCTTTCATGGCCAACCACATACTTAATGAAATCTTTTTCAGTAGGGTTGGGTGCCAAATCCAATCATGCCACTGTGATATCTACCCCTGAGTCGAGCAGCTTCCCAAGCACTTTTTGCAAAAAAAATTTCATCCAAGCTTTCAGTCCAAATCAGTTTGTCCTTACCTGTATCATTTTTTCCCAATTTAACAAGAACTTCTATGCTTGATCTCTCCCAACAAGGTCCTCCAATAGCCTTTCATTCCACCTGTTGTCAGCTTTAAGATCTTTGATCGAGATTTTAGGCTGTTTGACCACCATCATCCAATCCCACAAAGGATCCAAGTTTGACCATCTATCCTATCAGAACGAAATGCTACCCTCCTTCACTCGCCATCTAGATCGTTTAAGAATATCTAGCATGCACCTCATAACCATCTTCCCGAATCTTAATCCTTTAGTAGCATCCACCTGAGATATATATTTGCCCTAAAAAATTTTGAGCAAAGAGATGTTTTAGTCAAAATTTTCCTAGCAAATTTCATATGTAGGGCTAATTGCACTTCATGTAGACTACGAAGTCCAGCACCACCTTCTTTGATAGGCATACAAAATTTGTCAAATGCTACCATTTCTTCTTAGGCTTTCCATCCGCATATCCTCAAAAGAAATCACTAAAGATTCCGTTGATGACTTTTATAACCGAAACAGGAGCTTTAATACAAGAAATCAGATGCAGAGGTATGCTTGTGAGAACATGTCTCAGAAGCAGCAGTCTAGCCCCTTTAGATAATACTCTACTTTGCCAATCTCATACGACTTTTTTCTACCACTTTCTCAAGATCTCAAGCTCTCAATCGTCCCTTGATTATAGGAATCCTTAAGTATTTGAACGGGAATTTACCTTCTGTGAATCCAGTGAGTCGTAAGAGCATCCGTTTGATCTGTTTAGAGAAAAGGATGGATGTTTTGTCAACACTTACAACCTGTCATGACCAATCTTTTTATTTTCAGAATACTTCTTTAATACCTCTTAAAGATTTCTTCCCACCATTTGCAAATATCACAATGTCATCAGCGTACAGAAGGTAAGAAATTAGGGGAGCCCTCCTTGGCAAGGAAAAAGATCTTATGCTCCCATCTTCATATTTAGCTCTCAATATCTGGACAAAACTTCTTCAACCACGATAAAGAGATATGGGGACAGGGTATCCCCTTGTCTTAGACCCCTTCCACCTTTAAAGAATCCCTTCATAGTTCCATTCATCATCATAGAATACCAAGGAGAATTTACACACTGTCTTACTAGATCACAGATCTTGGAGGAAAAACCAAAAGATCTCAATACGTGCATAAGAAAGTCCCAATCAATGCTATCATATGCTTTGGCAATATCCACTTTAAGCACTACATTTCCACCCCTTACTGGTTTGTGAAGGTAATGAATCATCTCTTGAGATAGAGTAATATTATCAAAGATACTTCTCCCCAGGATAAAAAAACCTTGCTCCATAGAAATAATTCTTGGTAGAACTGAGCATAGACTGATTGGTTTGAACTTGTCAAAGCTCGAAGGAGAAGCTATCTTAGGAATTAGCACCACAAAGGATGAGGAGTAAAATCTTGGAATATCTGTACCTCGAAAGAAATCGCACACTGCCTCCACGACATCTTCACCCACAAGTCCCAACAAGATTTATAGAAACTTGAGCCAAATCCATCAGCCCAGGGCTACTGTCAACCGGGATAGAAAAGATTGCTTCTTTGACCTCCAAGAGAGTAGGAAGCCTTCCTATTTCCTCGTTCTCTGCCTCTGAAATAGTTTGTTGAATCCAGGTTGATAAGTCTGGTTGGTCTCTTCTGGGTCTAGCTCTTAATACATTTTGAAAATAGTCAACCGCTACATGATGAATAGCCTCAGGATTTTCAAGCACCGACTCGTCTATTAGTCTCATCTCCTTCATCCTGTGAAAGGTCCTACCATTAAGTTGCTTGAAAAATTTATTGCTTACTTCACCTTTCTCAATCCACCTTTGCTTTGCTATTTGTGCCAGACGCATTCCTTCTCTCTTTTACCAAATGTCAAGTTCTGCTTTTGTAGCAAAATAGGTGTTCTCTATCTCCTCCGAATGAGCCTCTTGTAGATTAGCATCCAACTTTTCTAGCTCCTTTTCCAGCCGCTGAATGTGTTCTTGCGTCTACCCAAACACTTCTCTGCTCCATCTACGTACTACAGTCCTCAAACTTTTGAGTTTTCCAGCTAGGCACCATAAATCGCTCCCTTCAGTGTTTCTTTCCCATACCTTTAGTACACAATCCTTAAAGCTCTCATGTGTAGTCCACATTGGTTGGAATTTAAATGACGTAGGGCCATAGCGATCCATATTTGTCTCTAGCCAGATCAACATTGTTGCATGGTCCGAGCTAAATACCTCATATGAAGATTTGGGAAATGCTCCAAACAGTTAGGATCATAAAATGATCTATCCAATTTTGCCCAACTCCTAGTCCAACCTGTTTGACCATTACACCAAGAAAAAGCTTCCCCACCATCTGAGTGTATTTCCATCAACCCACAATTATCAATAAATTGATTAAAATCCTCCATAGTACCCATTGGTCTAGGTCAGCCTCCACGCCTTTCTAAATTGTTTCTAATACTATTAAAATCTCCAACCACTACCCAGGGTATGTCTGAATGATTCATCTCTTCTAATTCTGGCCAAAGCAATCTTCTTTCTCCAGCCGTGCATTTCGCATAAATAAAAGAAGCCACCATCCTGTAACTCCCTTCTATCACCAGACAAGTGATTTTTTGTTTACTTTTATTCATCAAATGAATATGTACTTCTTGACACCACATAATCCATAGTTTTCCTTCCACGTCGTTGTTCGATAAACCAAGATTAAATTTTAGTTTCCTCTACAAATTTTTCCATTCTAACCGTTGTTTGCCAAGGCTCCGCTGTAGCTACTAGTTTCAGCATATACTTCTCACTAACTTTCGTAACATGCGTGTCGAGGCCCCTATGCCTCGCACGTTCCAAAAGAGATAGTTGCAACTTATAAATTAAGCTTAGAGGGTTTGCTTGGAACCCTAGTAGAGCTTCTGACCTTGTGTATTGTTTTCCTCGTGTGTTGTTGAGCCCTTTGTTCAGAATCTGAAATGCAATCATGAATATTTCCCAGTTCCTCCACAGTATCTTCCACCTCTATATATTATCTTATCATAGCCACTTTTGCAATGTCATGTTCCATATATTCCTCTTGTACCTCCTCATCATTTACTTTGACACCTTCATCATCCTCTTGTACCTCCTCATCATTTATTTGTTCATTATTCTCAATCATGACCATCAAATCTTCATTTAACTTTACCTCTCGCTCCTTTGTTTCTCCTTCTTCCTTTGCTTGCTCCCATTCCACCAGATAAATCCCACCTACAGGTTTCAAAAGAATGTCTCCTCCAAGCATAACAAGATTGCTCTCACTAGTCTTCGAGGCCTCAGTTCCATCCTCGTTCATTTTGTCTCTCCCTAATTCCATCCTTGTTCTACTTATTATTATCAACAGCCAGATTATATCCTCTACTACTTTCACAGACCTTTATTTTGTTATCACCTCCTTGCTCTTGATTTTTTCCAATATGAATGCTAGCATACAAATTAGTCATTTCTCCATCCTCCTACTTATGTTGTTTTCCAGTTCTCACATCCCTAGCCACGTCTCCATTTTTTCGTCTCCACTCTTATTTTTCAAGACCGGCAGTAACCACTTTCTTCATTTTCCGCCTCTCATGTAGCTGCTCACCAACTATACAAACAGCCTCCGTATGACCTGTCTCCTACATTTTTTACAGTACAAGCCAATTTTTTCATATTTAACACTCTGCCAATGAGTCGTCGAACCCACTATGATTGGAAAACATTCTACAAAATCGGCTAATAAATCAATTTCCACACAGATTCGAGCACTAGAGGCCCGTGTTTGATGTAGGGTAGTATGATCTGTTCCCAAATATCAGCCAAATCGTGTTGCTAAGATATGAAGACAGTATGGTCGGTAGAGATGCAATGGAAGTCCATGTAAGTATATCCATTGGGGAGCCAAAGATGACTCCCTATGGAAATCGAAATCTGGAGTCCATTTGAATACTCTGAATGAAGCCCCAGCCACAAATCTGCCCTCTCTCGCCCAAGTGTGCAAGAAATCAGTCTCGTTTTTCATTTGTACCAATACATGTGAAGCATCCATACTACTAACCACTGGCATTTCCCGAAGCCCCAAGTTTTGGCAATGATCGCTCTAATCAAATCAATGTTCGGTCTACACGATAAGAATTTGAAGATTAATGTAAATCTAAATTCCTCTCCATGAGGTGTCTGCCAGTGCTATAGATCCCTTCAACGTCATGGCCGTCGTTATCGGAAGTCCTGGCAGTGAAGGCGTCGTCCCCCAGACGGAAGCCATAGAGAAGCCCTAATGGGATCGCCCCAAATCACCCAGGATCGCCTCTCCATGATTTCCGCTATCTTGTTTTGCTTTGCTAACATGTAATTAATGGTGTGAAAAAATTATATGCAGTCTTATTATTATTATTATTATTATTATTATTATTATTAGAGCATAATAGAACTGATGGATATAATTATGGCAGCCTTCAATGATTTACTTTCAATCGCTAACCAAATGTATAATAATTATTTTAATAGTACTTTCTTTTCTTGTAGAGGTGGAATTAGGGTTTTAGCTGAGGAGGCATTACGAAGGCCTGCCGCGATATAGTGCTGCCAACACTATTTATTATTATTATTATTATTATTAGAGCATAATAGAACTGATGGATATAATTATGGCATCCTTCAATGATTTACTTTCAATCGCAAACCAAATGTATAATAATTATTTTAATACTTTCTTTTCTTGTAGAGGTGGAGGTAGGGTTTTAGCATGTGGAGGTGTTGACACATAAAAATTCAGCCCAAATCGAACGGCCCAAGGAGTAAAGCCCAATTGGAGGATCCCCAAATCAGATTGCCCA